AATTACAGCGGTTGCAACGAGCCCAAACACTAGTCCAGCGTTCATAAAAGCCAAAGGCATGGCCAAAATGCCTGAGCCCAGACTCCCTTTCAGCAGATGTATAAATGTTTCCATATCCCTGAAAATTAAATAAAATAAAGTTTTGGAACGATAATTTTCAACAATTTGTTTTATGTAATTACGTAGTAGGGTATTGGACCGTCCGATGGTCGAACGGATTGTAGCCACCGAATTCGGCATCTTTGCTTGTACTTGATACCAGCGGAAGCGTCGAGCCATTGGTCTGTGTAATAGGTACTCCGTTCGATGAACATTTGTATCTGTTTAAACGAATGTTAAAAATAATTTAAATTACATTATTTATTTAATGCATTTATAAAAATAAGTGGCTTTTAAAACAATTTCACGCAACCAAATAATTGTGATTATGCAAAATACATTATAGCAGGGGCGCTAAATTTTGTATAGACACAGTACCCCCTTTACCAATAACATTTTTTGAGTACTCCTTCTCAGCTATAGTAAGCTAAATGGTATAAAAAAATCTTAAGACTTTTATTTAGTATAGTATACGGTACCGTTTTAATCCTGAAACTCGCAAATCGTATACCTCGGATTTTGGAGTTTTTTCCTCTAGTTAAATTTAAAGGCTTGTTGGACAGACTCGTACCTACTAAAATTTTGAGTACCCTCAAGGGGTAGGCGCACCACAGTTTAAGAACCATTGCATTATAGCTATTTTGCATTGTACATACGCATCCACCATAATACCTAACCTAGGTTGTAGTAATACTCCTGTAGGCAGTTTTGTTGGGCAGGAGGTAGTAACATCCTAACACAACGAGAGTAACGCATTACGTAATTTCGTTAAAATTGTTTCTATTTGACGAAAATGCAATGAACATTTATTTTGATAAGTAATATTCCTATAATAAAACGCGTTACCCTTTCAACTAGTTTGGAGTAGGTACCTGCTATTGTGAATTTTAAAATAATAATAATACTCAATAAACTTGAGTAATACATATAATGAGGGTATTTGGATATATATAAACATATATAAATATGAAATACATTTAATTTTAAAACGTCATAATTCAGTTTTTAATGGTTTAAACCACACATAAATTACAATACAAAATAATTAATAAAGTAATATAAATTATATTTTCAATTAATCTTTTTCTCGAAATACATGGAACGTTTCCTATATATAAGCAGGTCGGGTGGACTGGTGGTGTTATTGTTTTTGTATGTTAATATATTTTGATAGTTAAATATTAATAATTGTTGTAGGTATAATATGTCTATAATTGTGATAGCAATAACAATAACAATCGTCATTCGACAAGCAATCAATTAAATAAATACATAAGGATTGATGTTTTTTGTAACGAATAAAGGAACTTCATTACTTTAATCTCTAAGTAACGTGTAATGCAACTTATTTATTTTTTAAGTGTAACTTACCCAGAACAGGGAACAGGTAAGTACAACCGGAATATTTTACGCATCATAATGAAGTATTTTTTAGTTACATGTCCATACAAAAACTAAGATGTTAACGATAAATAGTAGATACCTCTGTATAGATGAATAAGTGTAAAGCGTATTTAACTATTTATTTTGAAATGTGAACATTGTATAAGAATTAAGTGGCATAAAACAACGATCGACGTCAGTCAATAGGTAGGTAACCAATAGAAATCAATTGTTATATACTACAGAGATTTTATATACGTATGACATTTATTGTCTTTGTCAATTTGAAATGACATGTTTCATAATCATTTTTCTTTTTGTATAACGAGGCGAATATAATATTACTACAAAGTGCATGTACATTAGTTGACAGTTGTCATAATATACAGTTGATTCTGAGATTCTACGCTCATTGAGCAGGAAATCCAATATTATGTTTACCATTATTTAATATTATAATTATAATACCTATATGCATACAGATTAAACGAAAAAATGTGATTATTTGAATTTGTGGACGATTTTAAAATGGATCAATTTCGTTTAGGCTTACAGTAGTTAAAGTATGAAATAATGATTCAAAAATCATGTCTTTTAAGGGCTTAAGTTTTTTTTTAACTCTAGATAAATTTAGTATGAAACACCACGACCTCCCAATGAGTATAAAAAGAGGTTAGGTATTGGTATTGTCGTATAAACTTCAGGTATTGCACCTGTAGAACACTTTATTTAAGTAATACAAATTGTTTAAAAATAGGTATTATAAACTTGTACATTATTTAATTCAGTATTATTTTTTTTAGATTTTCAGGATTATTACAAATAATATTTTATATTGTACCTTCGAATAATCTATCGGTAAAATAAATAATGTTTATTTTTTATATCTATATGTTTTACCTTGTGAGCACTAATTTCAATTACGATTATTAAATATTATGTTTAAAAAATATCAAAGGTAAATGCATTTTTTTAGAATTAAAAAATACATACGTTGAATCAAGAGTCATATTGAAATATAAGAAAGATTATTGGGCTTATAGCTTATTAATAGATAATTAGTAATGCATAACTTTATGTTAAATTGTAATATGTAATAATCTAATATAATATATTCTGTACAGTAATTGATTTGTCTGTTTCTATAGTCATTGTGAAGATAACATGTAATTTAAGCTCGTATAATGATATATTATGTTAAATTAATTACACATTTTGTAATTGAGTGTTCAATTCATTAGATTAAGTAAATTTTATTATCATGTATTATGATACACCAGTAATATTATTTTAAAGTTTGTTTTCTGCAGACTATAGTAGTTGTTTGAACAATTGTGTCTTAATATTAGTCTTAATTAAGTCTTAAGTAAGGGAAACCTCAGATTCAATTTAAAAATTGTAAAATAAATAAATGATTATAAACTTAACAGTATTGGTGTGGATTTTCGACTTAAATGAATGTATAGTAGAATAAATGTATGTGGACAGGACACCACCATTTACTTTGAGGAAAACCTTTTTTTCTTTCATTTTGTGGTTTAGGACTTAGGTTACCATTTTAAATTTTTCGGTGAGTTTTCGATGGAATAAAGTGCATTATAAAATACTGTATTGAGATGCGATTAAGTTAATACATTGTATGCAAGTACTTTGCAATGTAATATACTTATATACCTACTATATATAATCGTAGCCCACAGGACATGCGACACTCGAGGATTGGATACCTGGGCTCTTCCTGACATTTTGTAATCCTAAAAGTTAAGTTCCAGAGTCACGGGTTCGTATTTAATGTGTAACTTCTAAATAAAAAGTAAATTTTCAAGAATTCGTAATGAAAAAAAATGAATAATAAAATATTATTCCGTGTTGTTACATAATGAAACATAGGTACAACATTTTACGTTTGCGTGTAAAAACCGTAATTTTAATAAGAGAAGAATCATGACCTAAAACCGTTTGGAATCATAAGAAATCTGTTACTGGTACGGAACAATAAATACCTAGCATAAAATGTTGATTTAGATTTAGCAGTAAAGGAATTCAATAATTTAAGTATACCTAATTTAGTTGTCTGTCATTATACATTGTTGTAGTGAAAAACTAAAACTATTGTATTATTCATCTATGAAAAGTATTAGGTATTAAATAAATTAAATTAGATACAATTTTAAGTAGATTATTTTTATAAAGTGGTAATTATATGATTAATACAAAAATATTATGGTCAGATGCGCTTTGTACAAATTATATGCCTAATTATTGTACCCATACAATACCCAAACCTAATAGGTATGGATAATAAATTCACATTAGGTGCAGTTTTCAAAATAATTTATTTTAGTCTGTTGATGTGAAAGCTCCTAACACTATTCATTTTAATAAGAATTATCATTTTCAACACGTACTTGACCATAACAAGATCGGCAACATCTGTTCGTATGGATCCTTTTTTGTTGTTATCCAATTCTGTGATAATCGGTCGCATGGACCCCTGAAAATAAAAACAATATGGTTAATTTAAATTTAAATAATAAAAAAATGTAACAACAAAAATTAAATTGTTCGTTTCAAAAATTAAATGTGAACATTTTCATAGACCATTTCTTCTAAAAAAAACAATCTTGTTTATTACGAAATAAAAAATTGAATCAATTGATCTAACTATTCAAATTAAATGTAAAAATATTGAAAATATTTATACATAATATATTCAAACTAATATTTTTTTTATTTTTTTAATAATAGGTTTAATAATTGGATATTAACTTGTAAAAAAAAATAAGAACAATTTAATTTGTATTGCTTTAAAACTTCAACTATGTGATTATTCTATCATCTAATTAAGCAAAGTAGTTCTTTCATACTATAGTTATGAGACTATATAAGAGCTTGTAATGTAACAAACTTTTTCTCAACACATTGAGTAAACTATAGCAGTATTTAAAATTACAAAGGGACATATAACAAAAGTTTCAGCATGAAATTGTCAGTATTATTCATGCTATATGCTATGGAGAACAACACAGATTTGAAAATATATATACATGCGATGGTTATATTATAGTATGATGAATATCTACAGAAACGGAACAAATGTACAGTCAATTTAAACACATAATTAATTTTGAGTTAGTCATCAACAATAGTTTGAAAAATCTATATTAAATCAATTAATTAATTAAAGTTAAGTTAAACTATCTATAATGTAATATAAAGGAAAAAACAAAACTAAAAGATGATATGCATAGAAGTTTGCACTAACTCATTTCGTTAATAATTATTATTATACATTGTGAAAATACCCTAGAGCGCCTCATATTGAAACGACACCAACAACCGACCAACGAACACTACTAACTACAGACTAGAAAATGCAACAGTGTCATATTGATCTTGAGTTTTATTAAAAAATCATAGGGAACTTATTTATTTTAAGCTTTAATGGTATCGGATTACAAATCGTGTTTTACTATATCTAAACAAAAAATAATTATCCCGATACCTTATTTATATCATGTATATTATATCGTATAAAATAAAACACTTGAGATAATGATTGTTTTACTCCTGATTTTATTTATTCAATAATATATTTTTTACTCATTTATAGGCATAATTTTATGCTGAACTGTTGATATAAGCAATTGTAATTATCAGACTTAGCATAACGCCCTTCAAAAAGTTATCAATAAATCCATGACACTAAAATTTCATATATAAAATACAAACATTTATCTAACTCGAGTGCCATTTAAAATTACTCTGATTAGATTTATGTTAAATTTAACAAACACGTTTTGGCACTTTTGTTTTTAGTATTTTTACTTGAAGGTTTACAATACAATTATTATTTAGTTGTGTAATTACTGGTTGTAGTGCTAGTTTGTTTTATTTTTATTTACAAAAAAAAAAACGTATTCAATCTATACATACAGTATAATATATTATACTGTTTTTAAACAAAATTACAAATTTTACAAGTATATTTTTATTATTTTCTGAATATTATAGTACTTATATCAATATATTACCATAATTTCTAGGGTACACATTGTGTATGCATAATTTAGTTTGAAAATAATTAATAACTTAAAACATACATATTTTATATTACTTACAGTTAAAGCGAATTTGATTTATAATTTGTTTAAGTGCTCAATAAAACATAGTTAAAAATAATAAAATGATGGAGTTGGCGTTTAAGAGTTTTTGAGCATTTTTTACTCTAAAAGCTAAAAAAAAAAATCAAAAAAGGTAATGTAGCATTTATACATTTTTTTTCATACTGAAGGATTTTAAATTAGTACCTATTTAATTATTTTAATTTGTTGAACAAAAAAGTATTGCCAATGAAATATGAAATTATCTAGACCATTCATAAATAGTTAAATTATATAAACTCTAAGAAGGTTTGTTCAGTAACACATTATTTTTTATAAATAATGAAAAAAAATTATTATTTTAACTTTTAAATACTAAGCATTTTTCTTATTAGAGAACTTAAATAATAAGCACTTTTTCCAATTTGGTTAATTCGCTTGGATAATTTTAATAAAGTGTCTTTAAACAAAATTTCATTATACTACCACAAACAAATATGGGCACTTACAAATAATTAAACCTCATATCAAATAATCTCGTTTATTATTGTTAAAATTATAATCCTTGCAAGTTTAGAGATAATAGTAAAGGGCATTTTTATAATTTATATTATTTAGTATATTCCCACTTTGCTTGTTTACAAAAACTTTAAAATTATTTCACTAAATCAATTTTGACTTAACTTAAAGGTGGGAGGGGGGAATTTAAAACCATGACACAAACAAAAATGTTAATTCTCTTGCCGAAGAATGTCCAAGCGTACTTAAGTTTCATTATTTATGCCTATATAATTAACGAAATTAACTAAGTTCCAAGAGAGGTTTAGAGGCAAATTGGCAATAATCCCCCCCCCCCCCGGTCACCGAAGTTCTACTGATATAAACGTACTATTTAATTATTGTTAAGTATTGACGATTGAAAGAGCTTTGACGTTACCACAAATATAATAATTATACTAACTAAATACGTATAAGAATAATCGTTACTCAAACTTGCAGCTATATACGCATCGTTGTCCAAGTACATATTGTTTGTCTAGTCATCTCAATTGGTTTACATCATTTATCTATGTGTATTGCACATAATGGTTATCGATTTTTATCTATTCGTTCCACATAAATGGCGACTTATGGCGTCCAATATTGTTTCACACAATTGATTTACCCTTGACTTCAGTGACCCAACGAAGGGCCACTATATGCATAATACATATTATGTACAATATACTATGTACAAATGGACAGTATACATATACGAGTAGCATAATATGTATATAATATAATTTCTGGAGCAGTACAATAAGTGGCGTTTTTGTTGCAGCGCAATTGACAAATTATAATGTAAGGACGGCAAAAATTCGTCGAATACGATTTCAAAATATTATACAAAAACAATTACGAGGGACGACGTTGAATATGTGGACGTGTTCAGAGAATTGATGTTAATTTATCACGATTATCGTTAGGAATGAAATAGGAAAGGACGCACAATGTCTGTTTTTAATTAAAACTAATTCTTCCATTATAATTAACGCCTCGGTCATCACTGGAGTGTGTTGTTATAACGACACGTAATGATCTCTTATTGTTTTTAATAAAAAATAAACGTATCAATACGACACAAACAGCGTTGTTTGTGTTTATGGATAGATAATATGGATTGCGACAACGGTTAGTTATTAATGGTTTTTGTTGACGAGGGTAGTTTTTAAATGTTTACGTTCAGCAAATAATTAAACATAAATCTAAATAGAAGAACAGAAACATTTCTGCCCTACTGTATGTTCGCTCAATCTGATATAACTTTTAATTTTAAATTTTAACGAAATTTTAATTCGATCAACACTATTTTTACCTATAACAAGTAACGGAGGTATTTAGGTTATTATATAACCTAACCTAACGGATAATATGATTTGTTGATATAAAAATTCCTAACAATGCAGCTGTATACATTAGAGTAATTAAAAAAGCAATATAATATTTTTATGCATATATAGCGACATTTTTAAAATATAGGTCCGAGAAACGTATACTAAACGCTCACTGCATATGAAATTCAATACATATATATAAATTTTTTTTTAATGGTGTAATGAATATTTAACCCAGAATAAAGTATGTAAATATAAAAAATATGATTTGTATTAGTTTAAGCTGTTCAGAATGTATTGTATCGATATTTTCAGTGATTAAATCGTACTTTTTAAATATTAGGCAATCAGAGTAACTATTGAAATTATTTAAAAGTCTAGACAGATTTGAAAATATTGATTATCAATAAAATTATAATTATTGTGAACATAACATAAAATAAATACTTAGGTAAGCAATAATGATAAACTATTATAACAATAAAAAAAATGTATAAGACAATCAGCACGTGGCATTACTACACCGGTTGTACAAAATGTGTTTTCAAAATAACATTTAAATGAGTTTTTAAATTATGAATTTGTCATTTGTTTAAACAAGTGTACCTAGGTAGGCGTTAATGGAAAAAAACTAACACATATAGGATCAAAGAATTCACTGACACAATGAGTAAAAGTAGCTTAGTATGTTTTTTTTTCTCAACCTCCACACAATACTACACAGATAATAAAATATGAAATTTACCTTTAAATTGAAACATTTTAGCAAAATAGACAACTATTAAACATTTATGCCATGAATAGTACACCTATGAGACGATTAAAAAGTATGTAAGACTGGACAGTTTGAGAATAGATATATCTTAGTTTTTTTGTGAATTGAAAAAAAATATAATTATCAGAAATTCATGACCAAATTTTAAGTGGAATTTATTTAGATTAAAATATTTTAAATTTGTTAGTTTGTTAATCGTAAATTAATTACGATAATAATTATACTTAAATTATCAAAGATTCACAGTGTCAACTGTCAATACATAAAATCGTTTTAATAAAACTTTAAAATATTTTGTAATGTTACAAATTCACACTCATTTATTATAATTATTTTTTTCTAATTCGACATAAACAATGTTCACTAAACCTTAAACGTGACAAGATCATTAAACAATTGTATAAAATAAATTATAATTAACTTTTTTTATATTAAATAAAAAAAGTAAATTATATATAATAAAAACGAAATGCATTCAAATTACACTCTTATTCATTGATGAATCTAATGGATCTAACCACAATTTATTAACCTAACCTGACCTCCCATTGGTAGAAAAAAATGTATATATTATAATGTATATGTATATTGTATGCATTTATTTATTATTGAATGGATTATTATTAATGAAGTTACAAATTGCAAAGGAACACATTACAAATCGCAACGGAGTTAATACAATTCATTTTTTTAACGATAAAATATATCAAATATACATGACTGATATTAATATTGACGTATGGCGGACGTTTTAATGAATGTACATAATTATAGAAACAATCTGGAACATATTATATCAAGACAAAGGTTATGTTTGTTTACTATAACATAGGTATACTCTCCGCTAATGATCATTCATTTTTTTGATAAAATTCAAGTCCAATGAAAACCAGTGAAGGTTGAGCACACGCACGTCAATTTAATGATATATAGGTATACCTATGTATAATACACTTAGAATATTTTGTAGGTCATAATTCGTAATTATAAAACCCATTAGAAAACTACAGTAATTGATGTAACTGAAAGTATGCCAAAAATGAAAACCCGTTAAATCGTTGATTTTGAAACTGAATATATTACACACAATTATAATATGAACATCTTTAACTTATGAAATGTAGTACAATACATTAAATAACATCTAAAATATATATATTTTTCAAATTTCAAATACACCGTACTACAATCATTAGATTTGGTGTCTTAATTTTAAGATTAATTTGTCAGATATTCAGGGTACTTTCCCAATTCAGTAAGTTATTCCCGTCGCTTTAAAATATTGCAATAAATGTTGCTTGCTGTAATTTTTGCGTATAAATTTAAATTATTTCGTTGTATTAAAACATTTAAATACAGCCTGTGTATTATATTATTAGACGAATGCAAACCTTGAATGTCGTAAGGAACATATTGTAGTTTTGACCGGACTGACTAGTTATCATAGGTACTATAATATTTTTTTTCAAATTAAACAAGATTTTAAGATATCACAATACCTATATAGTCAATATACATGAACATTATAGGTTATATTTTTTGAATCGCATGAGATAAACTCAATAATTAATTACTTCGTGCCAACTCCTAATTTTTGCTACAAATGTATTAGGTAGGTATAGGTAATAATAATTATAATAATAATAATGTTTATACAGTCGTTCGACGGCCCAACATATAACATACAATAGGTATAAGGTACCTATATAGAATTGACTTTTCACTAAATTGGGTTCAAGGCGATTATATACGAAAATTGTTAACACTTTTTGGTTTCGTTCGAATGTTTATCATCATGCGATATCGCTTCCTATTCATAATATGCACCACACACGTTTCTAGTCGTACATACGAGCATTATAATAAAATCCAACATATTATTTTGTTATATCGACTAAGGTTATTGGCACGTTCTAAGTGCGGTTTTCGTATTGTTTAATTCACACCATTGTGTATAAGATGTATACATATATATGTAATATGTACATTATATATAACACTTATACTATGCATGACTGCTAGGTAGTAGGTACACAATTGTGCTATCTATGAAAAATAACGAAACTGCGTCTGGTATACAACAACAACAACAACAATAATAATAAATAATAATAATAATAATAATAATAATAATAATAATAATAATAATAATTCCTGCGGACATGCGCGATTAGCATTTTGTAATTTTGTGTTTTGACTGCGCAGTGATGAGAACAATTTGGACGTGATGCATAGTACGAATTAAGAAGTACGGCCATCGGGCCCCGAACATGGCGAGCGAGCAGATGTCTGAATATCAACTCAATTCCATCATAATTATGTAATCGTCGGACAGCAGCAATAACTTTGTTCGGGAAGAAGGCGAGCGGGTTCACGGTAATGTTCGGAAAACGGTATTTTACACTATTTCATTGATTTTGTAAGGAAAGTAATACGTACATTTAAAATCAATTTAGACACAATAATGTATAATATGATATCGCTTTCAGTATCCAAGGATCCAACTAATAATAAATTACATCCACGTGTACAATTACACTGCGAGGGATGGAGACGACACCTTCTTTAAAAAAAAATGGTTCTGTATAGGAATCTACTTTGCGATTTCAATCTCATCCACAACCCTAATAATATGTGCGCGGACATATCCATCAACGAATACCTCCGACAACCGAGCTGCTCAAGCACAAACAAGAACATCGAGTGAAACCTTTAAACATTCGAGAATCTAATGTACGAACATAAATCGCGGTTTGACTATTTTCGGATGCCCGCGGGCGCGTGTTAACGACGTCGGGCGTTCCATATAAACGAAATATAACACCTGACGTCCGTGTCCTAACGAATTTAATATATGTTATTAAAGCGGCCTCCGGTGATTGAGAGGATCAGCGAAAAGTAGCAAAAAAAACGAACTCCGATTTCCCAGTCATTCGGCGTGTGTATATTGCGTGTAATATTATGCTGGCAGGCGCATAAATTATAGATAAATCTCTGCGAATCGATAAACCGTAGCTAGATGCATAAATAGCGTATCGTGTGTTCAACGTTTATATACACCACACTACATGATATTACTAAGTATAAAACGTGTGAAGGAAATATGAACATAAATATTATATAAAATGTGCACGTGTTACTGGGCACATGACAATATAATATAAAAGTATAAAACCCGTTTATCGATAAAATTGTAAGACTTACGACGAAGTTACGATCGTTGACTGTACATGCCATTTGTTATACGCACACCCACGTTATGCTTGCGAGTTGTGACCCGAGAACAATTGAAACCACTGTTGAAAACAATAGGGTTTGTAGGAGGACAACGCAAGTCGTGTGAGGCGCAAAGCCTAAAAGGTTGCAACGGTCAACAATATAAAACCTTTTTTGTTTACCACAGTGTATAGAAATAAACGTTCACGTCAAATCCCAGCATTAAAGGTCTCTTTAGCTTCCGACAATAATTCTCGCATCTCGGTGGAATTATATAATATTTTATTGTGCGACTAAAACCCTCAACGCTTTTTCATGTACAAACGTGTACAATTATTTAACCGCCGAAGCAGCCAACTTATTTTTAATACAAATCGAGTGCTAACTGAAATCGGAATAATCATAATATGATAATATATTGTATACATTTTAAATGAGATTTGAGAACATTCCATTGGTAGTCGACGTGGAATTCGAAAACCGACGGAAACGTATATCGTTTGTGAGACTACTGAACTCTTTGAACGATTTCCGTTTACGGCCTACGGTGGATTTTCCGCAAAATAAATGTTTACAAAACGAATCACTTGTCCGATTTCGGTGGAGACTGCGTGTATTTAATACGGTGACAAACTCTGCAATACCAATCCTGGTTATGATGGTTGGGAGCTGGTTGTGGGCAGACTGACATACAAGAAAAAAGAAAAACCAATCACGATTTGCAGGCTTGTGGTTCGCAGGTGCACCTGTTCGAGGCTCCCCTGCAATAACCTGGACTCAGGTACAGACTGACCGGTTGGCCTGAATGCATAATGAATAGTGCGAGCTCGCGTCCTGTGCTCTTTATTTTATTTATTCGCTCTTCGGATTATGTTTCTCTCCTGGCGCACATGTAATAAACATTTCGCGCAAATCTCCGACGCAGCGCCGGCTTTCCCGCCGTACATATAAATTACCATTTCGCCATCGTAGTCTGTGATAATGATGATGTTATCTGAGCGGGGCAGCAATATTAAATATAGTATAGACGGGACAGATGAGTGTGCTGCTTTTTCCGATGCTGATGCACGATGCACAACAAACAGATAGATATAGACAGATAGACAGATAGAGACGGTGGAGGGGGTGACTAGGATACTATATATAAAAATGGAAAAAGAGAGTGAGAGAGATTGAGAGAGAGGAGGCATTTGGCAGGCGCACAGCCTGGTTTTTTTTCACCGCACACATGCCTGTACGTAAAATGAGAAATGGTATACACGCGAAAATCACGCTTTATACACGTGCTCGCCGCGTCTGGCAGAGTTAATACAAAACTGACCGCCGCGTTACACCCGGACTCGCCGAGATATTTATGATACAATAATTGTAAGATGTGACTTTAAAACGTTAATGATTATTATTTACCACCAACCGTTGCGAGTGTTGTAAAAACATTATAACTTATAATGTTGTAGTGATTCAGTGTTATTACAGTTTTATCAACTATAATATATGGGTAGGCAAACAGATAAATTAAATTTTCATTATTATTGTCCAGTGGACACACTACGCGATGTCCGTTTTAATTACAATAATATACCATACAGACATACAGTTACGTGATAACGTTTATGGATATTTTTTGAAAATAGGTATCATGAAAATAAATTTTAAGAACACGAGTAATTCGATAAAGTTAAGATGATATACTATCATGAATGAATGAATGTTAAAAAATAATCAGTTTGTAAAGATTATGTTGAGACGTCTACGAAACACGTTATTATACCTCGTAAATTAACCACCGTATTCTACTTCGTTTTTATTATTTTTTAAACTTTAAAATAATTTTTATTACAAGTTGTATAGTACGAGTGTACGACACACACTTGTGTGTGTGCCATGTGTACACGAACCGAAGCCTGCTGGTTAGCACGTTACAGAGGTTATGGAGCGCGTTACGGGCTGTAGGTTTTGGACGTCCGGTAACGGGCGGTCCGACTGGTATTGATCTGGAAAACGGACGGGGACCGGAGGCGGTGTGGAGCCGGCGCATACACGCCGACCTCGCCAATAACAGAACTCATTGTCCGAAAAAATAAATAAATAAAAGAACTATCGTTGCTAAAAAGAATGAAAAAAATAAAATGAAAAACACAATAAACACTTCTGTCTCCTATATACATTTGTGCACCGCAGCTGTATGCTTGTATATACGACGATAGAACCTATACTATTACACTGTATCATATCCATGGGCGTAACTAAAATGTAGTAGTAACTTGTGACAGGAGCTAGTCCTGCAAAATCAAAATCAAAAATAAGGCTTGGGTGGGCTAGGCCGTTACCGCTTCCGCACCTAACGTTAACAAATAATTAAGGTCTTTGCATAAAACATAAATAATAACATAGACTACGTTTATTGACTTGCAACTTGCAGTTAAAACTCAATAAAACTATCATATAATTATACCTGTATCGGAGTGGAAATAATTACCAGTAAGGCACTAACGCAAGATCAAACTATATTATAAATGTAGCCATTGTAGGTACAATAATAATATGTATATTAAACCTATTAATAATTCATACATTTAACTTTATGATGAAGGATATTTATATCATAGGTACCCTAATATAATCAAGACCACTAATAAGATAATATTAAATAATAACACAGGAAATCAAAACGTAACTCGTAATTTTAATTTTATTAATTTGTTGTATAAATATTAGATGTGTTTTTTAAAAATATTAAATTACTAATGAGAAATTTAAATTCCTGATTCTTTAGAGGACTTGGTACAAAATCCAAAAGAGACTAGAGCATTTTATAGAGGAAAAGCTTTCCTTAGTCATGCTTTATGCCGATGATCATAATACACAGTGAAAATAGTGTGCCAGAGTGTATGGTTATATTTTATATCCTTTTAACCTATAATATAGACGTTAGGGATATCAGGATATTATTTACCTAAATATTTGGTACACAACACTTATGTGTATTTTATAATAACGCCGTGCCATAATACTCATGGTGTATTCACTCACTCGATGGCGGTACAAGACGTAAATGGTGTGACACATTGTCTCCTGACGAAGAACTCCGAGAGCAAAAAAATACGAAAACAAACGTATTCTTTGGTAAAAAAAACGGTAATGACCGAGTGTACATATCGTTTGAGTGCAAACACACACAAAAAATAATGTACACAAACTAACCCGAGAAGTACGTGTCGACCATACAAATTCGGTTTCGCCGCAAACACAATATGACATAAAATACATCATATTATTCATATTATTATATTGTTAACGTCGACGCGTCAAAGTTATCGTCGTCGCCGCCGTGTCAAAATCGATTTTTGGCCGTCTATAAACGCAGGGTAAATACACACACGTACGTCGTATATATATGGCTATATAAAATATAATCTGTGTAAACCTATTATTGTTATAGATATGTACACGGCATTTCAACCGTTTATCGTGGACGCGTGTCATATTATATTATACAAATATACTTATTGCATCGTTATATCGGCCAAATGTTGGTGAAATTGTTCTCGAGTGGAGGTGCAGCTGGGTGTATAATATTTTATTTGAATTTTCCTTATTTACTTTTGGACACCGAATGCGTCAAGAAATGCGTATTATTATATTGGTGTTATTTTTTGTTGACAACGATGTGCGGTGTTGTCCTCTTCTAGGGTTTCTTTTTCATAAATCACTTTTTGCAGAAGAAAATGAAAGGCCAGTGCAGATCACTGTATTCAAATCAAACACTGACAGATATAGTATGCAGAGGTCATTTTTTGACATTTCTGGGGAAATTGTGACGATCAAATGAAAGCAAGTACATTGATTTCAACTGAATTTTGTCCATTTGTCAATCCGCTGGTTGCTTTCAAAGCTCCAAAGTTCAAAAACGTTCACTCCAATGACCCATTTGCAATGTAAGGCTTACATAGTTTGTTTCGGATAAATTATTATCCACGGTGACAAGAAGTAAAGTGAAAATAATATGATTTTTGAAATATTTATATGTACATATTACCTAGTTATGACAGGAGTACCGCGTACAGACAATTAGATAATTCGGTCATTTACAAATGGATAATAATTAAAATATAATATACGGCATCCCCGATATACACTACATACACCCTCCAAAACATGACTGACGAGGTTGGGTGAGTAGACGAAGTGAAGCCACGGTGGTGCACTGGTTTCCATTTTGAAACAACACCGTACGGACAGGGAACCACTTTTCGGTGCACGTATGAAAAGCATTTATCACTGTTTCGACGGACGAATTCATGGCACTCCGAATAATATTTAGATTGTCGATTTGTCTTCAATCCGGACGGTTCCTCCATAAATATTATTAGTCTATACGCGATACATATTGTATATAAGTAGTTGAATTTCATAATCATTAATCGGCCGCCGTGCTCCAATAATTTGATGTGACTGGCAAGGTCGGCATTTGCAAACTGACTGATTTGTTGAGGAAACATTTGATTTAATATTGTTGATACAAGCATTGTGGAATTATAGATTTGTACTGTAGTTTCGAAGTTCGGATGTTATTTAGACGTCTAGCCATCCATACAAAACTTGGTGTAAGTGGTATATTATGTGAATTTGTGTGTTTGTTGTGTGAAGGAACAGAATATTATTATACCGGCCTACATTATTATGTATTTATACTATTTTTAAATACACGCTATTATTGTAGGATTCGTCTACTGTCGAACGGAATGACGCAGATATTATATAAATAGGTATAGGACAGGCGTGTACAACAACAATATATTATACGTATTATATAGGCATTCCAGTAAAATGGTATTTCTAAACTTACTTTTATTCCAGCGGCAGTATGTATTAACAGGCATAATACAAACTATAAAACAAAACAACCGCTTTTTTATGAATTCAATAATATGTTTTGCTTTTTGAATAGCATTTTATCAGTCGTGTTTAACATTATTATTTAATTTGTTCGATCTGTATTCTGTATGTAGGAAAGTTAACAAAACGCCACTGAGGTAGTTTTCATATTTATTTATCTAATCTCATGTGTCTTTTTCGCAATAGGTATACATGTTATTTTTGTCTATGATAGAACACAATATTAAAATTATGTGATATTGAAATTGAATTGAGATAAGAATAAATAAGTCGAAATGAGCTGTTTTTTTCGGTTACCTACATTGATTGGTCAACACTTTTGCCTCTTTTCGGTACCTCCATTTAAAACCGAACTTACGTCACTGTTGAGGCGGTAGTACTGAAATCACCACTGGCTTCCGTAAACGCAGAAAACAACTACTACCAGAGCGGCGAGCTCGTTTGTATAAGCACACACGTGGTATGCACACAATGAACTAGCGAAAGCTTTCAAATCGATATTTGGCGGCTGGTAGAACCGAATGACGCACGCTGGAGGGAAAAAATAAAATAAAAGCAGTACCCGAGACGACTCGGCCGCGACGGTTAAGGCCAAAGTCCGACGGAAACGACCGTGTCGGGGGGGCGGCGGCGGCGGTGGAAAATTGCTAAGCCCGCACACTCACGCACGCGGGTTATGTTGTTTCACTCGGAAACCAACCCCCCTGTCGGAGTTTAAATTCGTGTTTATTTTCCTCCGGTTACTTATAAATCCCTAATCGCTCGCACTCAAATCGGTCTGATCGGCTGTAATTGATTTTCGTAACGAGTGGTTAGCATAAAATTATTGGTTCGTCTGCATAGCAAAGAAGACCAACTGACCTAACCCAACCCGTTGTTGTAGTACATTCAATGGTTCAAGGTTGGTTGAGTGTTCTATGCTACGGTTTGGGAAAGGGGTAGGAACAGCGCACAATCGCGATTATAATTTAATTGCAGGCATATACCAGGTACAGAGTGACGGACATTAAAATACTGTAGGGAAATACAAGTGTCTAACTCGCCGGACGTGATGATTTAGCGAGAGATCATGGAGACTTTTCTACGATTATATTTTTCTGCGATATGATGAGTGCAGTTTTGTTAGAATATCAGAAGTCACTCGAAGTCATATTTTAATGTGCCCTAGTGCGCTACGCCAATCGCAACATGATCATAATAATGAAAGAGATTGATAGAATTATATCACTTCTTTTATTATTATGCAAATAAAAAATATTTGTAGGCCGGGGGGGTTCGAAAGAGAAATCTCCAATGAAACTGTTGAATCTATAATTCGACAAAAACGTAATCAACATTTTTAAATTTTTAGTCCACGATAAGACAGAAATATTAAATTTGTAAAGAAACGTAAACTCTTGTCGCGCGTGGCTAGCGACGTTTGCGCTATTTACAATGGAACATTTTGTAGTGTCGTTATTTTAAACGATAAACCAACTGAACCGAACAAAGATTACCGAAACAAAGCAGTAATACAACACTTACATTGCTCCAAAAAAAGTAATGCTCTACAAATACCGCGCTACATCCAATCATTGTACGTATTACGTATACAACTGTACTCTTCAGTCTTCAGCACTTGCATTTCTATCGTATTGAAAATACACATCATTATTATTATTATTATTGTGATTATTATTATGTACTACCGGTCTCGCACAAAAATAATTTGTTTGCACGCGATTAAATACGATTATATTTTATTGTCAGTAAAAATGAAAATATAATCGCCGTCAGGACACGGATCAAAATATTTAAGTGAGGTTTTGCTGTTCAACAACAAAACGGTTTCGAAATCTATACAAATATTAGTTATTACATCATTACGTCATTCGTCCATGTACACAAACATCATAAGCATTAATTTTACAATGTAAAAAAATGATTGTCCTTTTAATTCAAATCGAATATCCACTATACGCAATCGTAGGCTAAATTTAAATTGTTCATCGCGTGCGTCGCGCCATTACTCCGAACCGTATAATATAATTTAGCACAATAATTGGATTTTACAGAAATATCTTTGAATAGTCTAAATCGATATATGCCCGTCGTCGTATTGGGGTCGTATTTTATATGCGCCGGGGTGGAACGCGCGTGTGGGAGGGTTTGTCATTTGGTAAATTTAAGGCAACCCACGCTGTTCGTGGAAACGATTGCCGCGTGAGTGAAACGATTGCCGATTGGCACACGCCACACGGTAAGTATATTGTTCTTAGATTATTATTATGTAATTATAATTTACACTTAATTAGGTGACTTAGGTGGAAAGTACGTGTTGACTTGGATTTAGGGATGTCTTAGTCGAATGGTTTTGGACCCCTAGGTGGAGCAGTGTTAAATTATAAAAGTAGAACAATAATTATTGGTGTTCGATATCGGGGAAAAATTAATTAACTTTAAATTGATTTTAGTTATTGTATAATAATTTAGATGATTATTATTTATTATTGTACCTAAACATTTTACGTAATACATATTTGAAGTATTAAAAATATTATAAATTTATAACACCATATTATTAATATTTATTGCACACATTTTTCACGTATTTTAACTATCATAAATATTATTATTTATTAGTACCTATATAGTGTATGGTATGCTCATATTATACTTCTTTCATTTAAAGGCCAAAAATGATTTCCTTTTTAGTGATATCAAGTGCTCAAATGTCGGCCGGATTTTGGACACGGAACAGATACAATTTTTACTAAAAATGCCCAACCGCGTGCAACCGGTTAAACTACATTAAAGGGGTAATACACCATTATATTGTCATCTATACCTACTATAACAAAATACGGCATCTGACGGGCGAAGACTGCCCGTTGGGGTAAACGGACATTTCGATTGCCATTTTCGTGAACGGTTCTTAATATATTGGTAGGTCACATGCAGGTGAGGGCTGGGCACGAGACTCGTTGAATGGACATTGTTTCAATTCTACCTTATTAATGGGCTGCTCGCGAAATGCAAAAAAAAACTCCTCTTTAACTCGTCTACCTATATTAAGTACACTTTGTTTTTCATTATTTTTATTCCTCCACTTCATGCACGTAGCCCTCTTGATTGATAGTCCACAACGACGACCTTTATTTATAGGCTTTGACCGCTATTATATCGGTATATCGGCGAAACGATGACGACTTGTCCTCTTATATTTTTTTTTTACGTTTCACTTTTAATGTTCTATTATATTATTATTATTATTATTATCAGTACGCACTGTACATTGGCGCTGCCCCTTTTACGCTACGCCGAATATTTGTAGTATATTACGTTTCAGTGTCGGCGTTCGTGGAACAGAAGTTTCACCGAAATGATTATATTAATATGAATATTACAATTTACAGTAAACGATCGTTTCTGTTGAACATACTAATTAATATGTATTTTTGTTTCAATAAGCCAAGAGCAATTGATCACGTACTGGGCAGCTGGTATTTTTTCATTCGGACCAGCGAGACTCGAAGACACATTTTTCGATTTCATCGGTTCTCGTCAAACAGGTAGGAACCACCTAGTACCCGCACAACCGCGAATCTTGAAATCGCAAATACGATGCTCATACAACGTTGAAATCCGCATTATAAATCACACATTCACACATCTTACACCGGTTTAATGCAATTTATACGTTGTGCGAATAATATAATATGAACACATAATATTAATCGTGTATAGGTAATATACTACACGCAACTAATAATATAGATACTTAATACATTTTTATTAAAGCGTTTCCAAATACTGACATTATGTATGTTACAATCTGTTACATTACTGAGAAATTGTCAAACTGTATATTATTAGAATATTATAAAACCGTCGAAAATATTATATTGTTAAAATATAATGCTTGCGCGGGAGACTAAAAACCACCTACATTTATAGGAGTCTCAAAAGTGGCATAACAATAGTGTTCGTTCAAAGGAGACTCATAACTCATAAGTATTATATTATTGCGTTGTCCTGGAAATCGATAAAACACAATAGGACGGGTACTGTGCTCAATAATAACTCATATCGTCCAATAGCCACAGATGCCGCGGACAGTTTGCTTAGTAAAATAAAAACAACTCATGTACCTTGTTATAGTTGCAGATGTCAAAGGACTATATGGATTGATTTAAGACCGATGCTTAATATAATCTCGGAATATGATCTCAATTAACATACTTGGATAATCGGACGATATGAACGTTAGGCATTGCCGTTTATATCCGATGGCATTGAATAAGCGAAGATTAGAATAATAATTTTATATTATTCTTTCTAAACGGTTATATACAAGGTGATTCTTATTAAGGTAAACGCTCATTTCATCGTAAAGTATCAACATTTTTGGAAACATTATTTTTATATAATTTGAACTATTCCAAGTCGTTCCAAAATACATTTGCGAAAAATTATGTTATTCATTATTTTTTATCGTTTTTATTTTACAAGGTTTTTACTTTCTGAAATGACATACATTTTCAATTTCATATACATAAAAAGCATAGATATTTTTTTATAATTTCAACAATTGATAATCAAATTTCAAAGGAGTGGTTTTTTTTTATTTCAAGTTCAGATAAGCGGAATGGAGTGTGGAGTGTCCCACGCAACATTTTGGGTCCACCACTCCGCTCATACAAACTTAAAATACCTTCCTCTAATTAATTAACTACTCTTTTAAAAGTAATCTGCTTTGGAATACGAAATAAAAAATATAAGCTATAATTAAAAAAACGGAAAGACTTAAAAAATTATAAAAATAAAAATATTGTTTTGTAATCCCTTCCAATTGTGTAATAGCAGTTAAACAATTTTAATACTTAACGTGAAAATGTGTTAACCTTTAAAAGAATTACCTTTTACATTATGATCAGATTCAGATAAGACATTTTAAATACATCGAGTAATTAGTAAGTACAAATTATGAAGATTTTTGACCAATTGGAATAGCAAATTAATTTAGTACTCAAAATGCAATAATAATTAACTGGAGTTTATAATAATTGAAACGTGAACCAAGAAACCTTGTTTTGAATAAACTTGGGTTTTTAATAATATTTAATATCATAATTAATAGTGTGATAATAGTTTACAGTAATTTAATAAAGCATAAGCGTTTTTGATCACTTGGTGTTTCGTTTTACGGAGAGGATTACTAAAATATAAACTTAACTATAAAATAATTTGTACATACAACTTTCAACATTTTATAAAATACATAAATTGTATTATAGTTTTTAATCATAATTTACAAAACGTCATATAAATTTACATAAAATACCTTAACTTTTTACGATGTAAAACGATAATTAGAATATAAATATGAGAACGGTATACCAAAAATTCGTTCAACGTATTTTTGTTACAGCATAAAACTAAAATATAGGACTTAATTACGGCGTCAAAATAATTAAAATTAAAACTGATTGTGGACATCACGGAACATATAATAATATTGTTCGCATAAATTATATAAATGTATTTTTAACATGATACGTGAAATAAACATGCTTAAATTCTTTTTTATTAAAAAATACATATCTCAAAATTTAAATGTGCGATGGTCTAGTTTTTAGTTATATTCTCAAAAATATTTCTCAGAAAAATAAATATTTGAATCGTTTTCCAGGCGCAGTTAACAAACGACAAGAATAACCCAATTTGTACGAAGAAACTATGAAGGTATGCTACAGACCTAGCTTAATAATTACATCCCTTCCACGATCTTTTTTTTTATTAATGTCAATTTATCCCAGGTGACAGTCTCCCCCTTAATCTTAAGCCAAACCTATAACATGGTTTAGACAAGTATATCTTGACATTCCTAAGTACGGTATAGTTCTTAATCGACAAACAGAATTATAAGTATTATCATTTTGTTTTTGATAGGTGTATATTAGTGTATATTGGTCATTTGCCAGTTTGATGTACAGGCACTAATATATTATCTCAATTACTGGGTCATTATATAAGCTTAATAACTCAGAAAATACTCAGTAAAACTGAAATTGGTACACATCGATATTTACAAAAAAATCATCTCTAAGGATTTAGTATTATAAATCAAAAGATCATATTGTTTGAAAAAAAATGTTTACATCAACATGACAACGTAGAATACTCCTTAAACTGAATACAATCAAAGTAATTAAAAATATCGTCACTTAAAAATTCTAAAAATCAGAATTTGAATACTTTTATTACTTGAGAGAAAATGGAAATGAGCGTACTTGGGAAGCACGTGTTTGCTGTCACATAACTAAATGTAGTAAATGTCTACTAGACAATATGTAAATATGAAAAAGTAAAGTAAAAATAATAAGAATAATATACGTAAAAATACCAACAGTGTAATGGTGTGTCTTGGTAGCATTAATACCTTATATATATTGATATATACTAAGATCTCTCAGAAAACTCGAAACCGAAAGGCGGAAGGTAAACTGCGGAAGTCAACGTGATAGGTAATTTCATATATAGCCTATAGGTTACACAGTTCTACATTATTATAGTTTATTACAGTGTTAAACAATTTTTTCTGATATTGCCTTTATGTCAAGACAGTTACGAGTGGCGTCACACATCTCCGTATAAGTTCGACGGTCGTAAAAAATAAAACAATCATCGACAGACATAAAGAAAAAGACGCTTAAATGAATGGGAACCCATTAATGTAAATAATATGGC